CCCCAACACACACATAAGGATCCCTGCAGCCAGAATCATTCATTCACATAGCAAGTGTATATTGACCACTTGCTATTTGCCATGTCCTGTACCCTTAAGTGTCTCCCACTCCCATGGGAGAGAGACAAGGTAAGAGCTTAAACAGATGCTCTAAGATGTTGTGGAATCCAGGGACTGAGTGGGGTCAGGGAAGACTTCCTGGAGGAAGAAACATTTGATCTCAGTTTTAAAGTATGGGTAGGTGTTTGAAGGCACACAGGAGGTGGAAAGGCATTCTAGGCAGAAAAGCCAGTTGAGCAAAGGTTTAGAGGCATGAGAGAACATGGCCTTTTAGGGGAATGGCCAGTGGTTTGCTGGCCTGGAGGGGAGGGCTTTCATGGGTAGGGCATAAGAAAACTAGAATTGTGAAGGGCATCAAATTCTGGACTGGAGAGTTCATATTTTATTCTAAATTTGAATTCTATCCCAGAATCAGGGGTGATGTGATAAGCTCAGTGGCTTAGAAAGCTTGCTCTGGAGGCTGGCTTGGAGGAAAGCCAGGAGAGGCTGGGGTTTGGTCCAGGCATGAAATGACAAGGCTGAGCTAAGTCAGGGCACAGAGGAGGGGCAGAGAATAGAGCTGGAGATGGACAGAGGTGAGGGGCTAGAGGAGAGACCAAGATGGTCCCCAGAGCTTTGGAGGATCCAGAACACAGACCACCTTTCCCAGCCTCCATCTCCCCCTGACCTAATTCCCTTCCCCATTCCCATGGCTCTGGCTTTGAACAGGAAGGAGAGACCAGCTGGTCCAACGTGAAGGGGCCTGGGGAGTTGGGGGAGGGCGACACCCTGGAAGTTTCTCTCAGGCTGGAAGACCATCTGTTTCCTGGCCCTGGTCAGCATGAGGGAGGTCCCGGCCCAGCCAGCATCCATCACCACCTGACAGGCTGCCTGCCCACCTCCCCGCCCACTCCTGCCGGCTCCCAATGCCCCACACCCCAGCTAACCACAGACAAAGGACTCACTCAGCCCAGAACCACAGAGGGCCAGAACAGGGAAGGGGGAGGGGAAGAATGAAGGCCTCTGAGACCCAAAAACATGGGGTCAGCGGGGAGTGTAGAAAGATCATGTCATAGTCTGGGGATAAAAGGGCCTAGGTTCAGCAATGCTCTGCCTGCTTTGGCAACAGAACCAAAATCTGTGGCTGTCCCCCTGCCAGCCACACTGCATGCTCACTGCCAAGGGCCTGCAAGGTTTTTATGGGCCTAGGAAAATATTTGAGGCCTGGGGGGGAAGAAATTGGCTCTAAAACACAAGGAAAACTGCAGAATCAAAATTAATGAATGTTTAATTAAATGTCTGCAAAACAGAGCATGATATCAGCCAGTCAACTGCAATTTGGCTTTTATCTGGTTATATATAATTTACACTTGATTTTGATATGGCTGTATTTTAATATGCTTCATACATGTGGGGCCCACAAAGATCTTAAAACAGCCCTGCCGAGAACATGCATCTTAATTCCCCTGAACCTCAGTTTCACTTTCTTTAAAACAGGGTCAGCACTTGCACTCTTGCCTACATCTCCGCTCCTATGGTGAGGAGCAGAAAGGCAAGATGGCAATATGCTGAGTTTGGGTTTGCTGCCCAGCCCTGCCCTAGATGCTTTGTGGCCTTGGGTAGTCTCTCTGCCTCTCTGAGCTTCACTTTTCTCCTTGGTGTGAGCATTGGTAAACTGCAGAGGGATGTGCTTATAGAGGAGGGGAGCATATGCTAGGTAGGTAGAGGCCTCTGGCTCCTCCTTCACCAAGCAGCCTCTCTTAAAACCTCCTCCAGGAAGCCCACCCTATTCTAATCTATTTGAAAGGAAGTTGGAAGAGATTAATCTTCCCCACAAAAGGGACTGATACCACCCACAGAGAAGGATGCTCCATCTCAGGGAAAGGAATCCAGCCTTGTGGGGACGTACCTACTCTCCCCCAAAATGCATCCCCAGTCCCTCCATTCTCTCAACTGCCACCGTCCTGGTCCAGGCCACCATCACCTTTGCCTTTGTGGTGAGTGCCCTACATCCATATGGCAACCAGCAAGGTATCTTGAAAACCTGTCAGATTATGTCTCTTTCCCCTCCTCAAAACCTTCCAAGGGCCACCCATCACACTTGGAACAAAACCCAAGCTTCTCCTCCCCTTGGCTTGCAGACCCTGAACCATCTGCCCCTGCCTATTTCTCTCTTCTCCTCTCCAACCACTTTCATTTGCTCTCAGCAGACCAGATACCAGGGGTTCCTCAAACCCAGCCAAACTTGTTCCTGACTTCAGGCCTTTGCACTTGCCACTTGCTCTGCCTGGAACACCGCTTCCCCACATCCTCCTGTGGCTGGCTCCTTATCAGCTCCTGAGTCACCTTCTCAGAGAGGCTTCCCAGGTCACCCATCCCATGTTGGCCCTTCCTCTCACCAAATCACTCTAGTCTATCACATTGCCCTCTTATTTTCTTAACATATATTATAAAACAGCCTTATTCATTAATGTACACATTTATTTTCTATTTTACCACTGTGGCTTCGTTAGAGTAGTGACCTTTTGTCTTGGTCACCACTGTGTCCCCAGCATTAGCACAACTAGTAGGCACTCAATAAATATTTGTTGAATGACTAAGTGTGAGTGTTTGCATGTGTCTCTCACCTCACCTTGGAGGCCTGGGTCTTCTTTGCCTGAACTTACATAGAGCCAGGAACCTTGCAGGCAACTTCTGTCCTCATTGACTTATTTCTGACCTTCCTCCCCCAGGAAGCTTTCCCTGGCATTGCTCAGCCTGTAGAGCCCAGCCAACTTTGACAGCTCCTGGCCTTAAACTGCCTGAGGCCAGCGTGAGCCAGAACCTAACAGACAGCTTCTACCTCCTCTCATTTTCTAGGCGAGGAAACAGAGGTGCTCAGAGGTCTATTTTAGATCTAATTTGCCGACTCCCAGTCTTGCGCTCAGAGAAGCATGTATGGGAGGAAACTGGAAAAACAGCTAGTGTGTATTGTTGAAGGTGGGGTTGGGAGCAAATAAAACCAAGTCTACAGAGGAGGGAAGCCAGCAGTTACAGTGTGAAATCCCTCCACTCAGGATCCATAAAGGTGTCCCTTCTGGCCCCCCTTGTCTCCTTGAGCAGGCAG